TATATATATATATATCTACTTAGAAGCCCTACTTAGAAGTTCCACCTTTCAAACACCTGCGTGAAAGCCCCATGCATGGCGCATTGCATATGTGATGCCAATTGGCGCCCAATGGCCTATTACCTGATATGCTTGACGAAAACATGTGTTTCAGAAGCATACCAAAGTCTTCGAGCCAACTGGAGGTTTCCTGGCCTCGGAGGGGTTGATTTTTCGGTGTCGTGGGGGGTGATTACAAAATGATCACAACGGGGAATTTTTTATCGAAACTCTCAGGCACTCTAAGGCAAGGAACCATGAAAACCCTTGCTGGAAAGAAGAAATCTTCAAGCCGTCGCCACAGTTTTTTTTTTACGAAAGGCCCGTGGATTGGAGTAGCTTGCCCGATGGACGTCCAAAAGATGTCACTCACGTCAGCGACTCACCGGTGCGCAAACAATGATCAGCAGATCGGTATCCACAAAGATGATCCACACGGGGGGGAAAATCTCTGGAATCGGAACGTTTTTGAAATCGCTCAATTCAGGTGATAAGAGCCAACCTAGCTCTACTCATTCCCACTTACCCCTCTCCGATAGCTTCACTTTCAACGAAGTTATGGGTGTTCAAATGAATCCGGTCAACGGGTACTTTTCACGTGTTTGGCTTGAAATTGGCTCCAAACCGTAAAATAGCGCGCACCAATGCGCTTGTATGAGCGCGCTGACCGCGAACAGCCAAAATTCAAAAGTAATCCATAGTTCCGGTTCCCAGCTGAGCGGTGAGTTTTTTCTTATCCATTTTATTGTGAATTACTTTGATTGTTTGTTTTTGTTGAGTTTAATTTTGTTTTGTTGAATTTGATTTTGTTGTGAGGAAATTGCTCAGGATTCAATTTCTACGGTTTCATAGGTAGCTTTTGCACATGGAGTTCTTATTCTAGATTTTGCGGTATCGTAGGTGGGATTGGGATTTACCTAGACCAGATGAGGAGGGTTGGTGGGCGAAGTGTCTTGAAGTTTTTTTGTGAGGAAGGAGGAAAAAGTTTCAGCAATATTTTTTTTTAGTTTTTGGCCTAGGAATAGTTCGATAGTGCCTAGTTCTATTTATTGTCATCTATATCGTCCCTTTTGAGCTTCTTGTTTTACTTGTACCGTGTATCACCGCTCTCTCCACTTCAACATGGGCCATGCTTACGACCCCCCCCCTCCATCGCGGGCAAATACGACCCCCCTGTTGTGATGATCACAAAGATGGCGTGCCCTGTCGCCAGCGTCGCAAAGAATGAACGTGTCCTAAGCATTGAAGCAATTTCCGACTAACCTTGGCTGAACGCCTTGAATGCAGTGCTGAGCTCCTTTGTTGACTGGACATGAATGTATCGCCATCCTTGTCACAATCCATAATGGGCATATATCTACCAAGATCAAGCAGGGCCTGAAACCAGATTGTGACTATATCAGCCGTATCGATGAGTTCTTCAACAAGCCAAGCACGAATACCATGGCCCAATGAAGGCATCTTCTAGTCTAGTCATCCCAGGAACAATAGAGGATAATTGATTGGTTGGCTTTGCCCATCCAACCACCGCTCGCGGTCAGTAGTTTGATATCGCATCATTTACTAGATTAGCAATAATCATAATCAGTACCTGAGACATTTTACATGGGCAGGGGATGTCTTTTGTGAGATCCATCTGGAAATTTCTGCGTTTACCATCGTACTCAAACCATTCAATACACATATCTAAGGCCCAGTTCAAGCCATAATGCTTCTTCCAATCCGGTAAATAAATACCTGCAGTAAAAAAATCTTATAATCATGTATTAGTTTGTTAGTGCAGATTTTAATGATTCTAGAACGTCTCAGGAGTAGCTAGAAAAGCGATAATCTGTTAGAATCAACACTGACCAAGGGAACGGGGGCGTTGCCTCATCTACAATAATCCACCGTCTTCTGTATTCCCTGCACAAGGATACACGCACGACATCCAAATGTGAATTTGCCCAAGCATTTCTGTAAACCGAATTTAGATCGATCAGAACTGATCCTAGCTTTAGCGATTGGCTATGAAATCGAGATGCAGCCGAGGGTTTTGATACCGATCGACCTTACATCAGCGGTTGCGTGGGATTTTGTTTAAGTATATATTTCTGGGTTTTAATTGGTGTGCGGAACCAGAGTTTCCGTGACACCTATTCGGCGCGCACAAGATAGTCCAGCTTGAACGAAAATGAAGATCTTAAAAGGTACAATACTCTTAGCGCTTCCGTTAGGGTTACTGGGTAATCACGCAAATCATACCGCACCATCGGGCATCTTCCCAGTAGCCGAAAAGACTAATATCAACGCGAGCACCAAAGTTGTACGTTAAATTCAACGCTTGCCAGGACATTGTCAACGTTTCGGCATACGGCTGATACCTACAAGCGTTCCAAGCGATCAATATACGGAGCTAATCAATCGATATGATCCTTCACCATCGATTGTTAACGTCGTCGACATCATCCTTTTAGTGATATCTGAGCAGGTGCGCGATCCGGTACCACTATAAAAGGTACACATAAGTATAAAATCTACTACGTCAAAGTTACGTCAGATCTCCACATGGTTGTGAATAGTGTGCCTTGGACGCGTGCGGCAGCGTCACGGTTGCCACACTGATCATATTGAGACTTCAACTAACAACGCTATCGTATTTCGTCATAGAATATTAGCCGTTCATTGACTGCAACTGTAGCAGATGAGCAAAATTCTGTGCCTTTTGGTAGCTTCCACTTTACTTGCTGTACATGGGCGGTAAAAAAGAAATATTATTATCTGGCTAAGGCCTGTGCTCATCAAGTACGCAGAAAAGTAGCCGAGACAAGTTATTTTAGCAAAATCACAAGGCATAGGCCGCGACGAACAGGCACCGGGACTCACCTGCCCACCGTCCACAGACGCATTTGTTCGCGGCGCTGCGACGATTGATGCGGGCGTGTCAGGTGACTCGAATTTTGGCCAAGCCGCTAGCAGGTAAGCGTCAAGAATTGTTGGGAAACAGCCGATACTATTGATATAATTGACCTGTCGCCCGCCGCAAGAAAAAAAAAGAAAAGAAACGGACAAGCACGCCGTTGAAGTCCGCTTTGCCGACACGGTGCCCCATCATACGCCATGCGCGAACAAGACTGTACCCCGTTGAAAGGCAAGAAACTTACCAACGTAGAATTTGCCAAAAAATGGGAAACTTTGACCGCCATCACGACTCATTCGAATGGAAACAAGACCAGTTTTATGGAACATCGGCATGATACATCGCGCTCTGACTCGATTCAAACGCTTACAATCAACTTGCCAATTTTCAAAATTGACCTGAAATAAACGAAACGCTAGTGAGCTGGCCATGCAAGAGAGAAAAGTATTCAAAGCGATAGGTAGCACTTTTGGTACGACACTTTTGCTCTCACCTGGGATGCTTATTCAGTAGGCCTCAGACATGGTTCCTGGACACTATTTGATTAGCTCATACCACCTTGCATGGGACCCTCAGTTGAGGCGGGCCATGTGTGGTGGGGGCGTTGGGTGTGCTGACATACGACCTGGCCAAGATGGAACTGCTGTGGCATTAATAATATATGAGAACAATGTAATAGCCGAAATATTGTAATGGCGGTGGAATCAGCAGGTTAGGGGCAACCCTACACAAATAAGCGACTGTGTCTCACCAGTAGATGCATTTGTACATCCTGCAGGTATGATCACCTCGTCGATACGGTGAATCCATCGGCCAGGTGTGAGCACATTAGAAAAGTAGCCGAGTTTCCAGATACGTCCTAGAATACAAATGGGTATCACTCAACACAATCGGAGGCCATATCCACGATTAGCTGATGGGAGTTCTGTCAAGAACGGAACGACCGACTACCGAAAAGCAGCGCCCTTTTCAGACTTCGCGATGAAGCGGCTCAGAAGCGCGCCGACGCACGTCGATCGCCACCGTCGCGCACAGTGCTCAAATGCACGACTGAACGCCAGCCATTAATGCTGACGATCGATCAGCACCCACAGCTTGAGAAGGTATGGCCGAAAACAGCGGGATACGCGGATGCGTCAGCACAGCTGGCACCCTCCCAATCCTTGTGTACTCTCACAAAAACTAGCAGCCGGCTTTCGTCGGGTCGCCTCTATAATCAGACCCGTCCGCACGGCGCGTGTCGCGCGCGCTGCCTTTGGCATGTTGCCATTCGTGGTTTTGACAGAGATTGCGAGCAGGAGACGAGGACGCGAAGTTGAAATTGTGTAGAAATGACTCGACTGTATAGTTACAGCTCGTGAGAATGCTAGGGAATGAAATGTTAAGGTTGGAAGTAGTGGCCACCAATGTAGTTTAATGGTTTTTCACAGGACTTATAAAGCTTTCACATTTTGAATATAAAGAAGCGCAACAAAAATGAAGAATGGGCATCGAAAAGCATTGGAATGATTCGGATACGCAAAAAACACAGCGTGAAGTGGATGGCAACTTTCTTCGAAAGTTCTGTGAGCGGTCTTGCTTCTGAACATCCATTACATCATAATCACTCGATAAGAAGGACATGTTCTTTGCGAGACATCCTAATTTCGGTCAGCTATTTGACTAACTGGCGACCTCACGCTCAATCTTTGAAACTCGCTGATTCCCTCGAGAAAGTCTCAGCTAATGTGAATTCAGGGCAATAAACCGCACGACCTCACTTCCTGAATGTTCAAATTAATAGAACCAACGACTTCCAGTGGTTGTCAAAGTAGATGAATTTGGCAAAACCCATCATATTGGTGAAAATCGTCTCCCTGAATTGCATAGCACTTCGACAGAATGGCTTGATGAGACAGGTACCCTTAGGACGATCAAACGGTCATCCATGGTCGTGTTCGCTTTCTCTAGTGAGCGTACTTCAAGAAAACAAGTTAGGATTTCGGCCATCCTTGGCAACCGCCGGTGTAGGTTGCTCCTTATCGATATTGTGGTGCTCAGGGTTTTATTTCAGTCATCCAATTTCGAATCAAAGTTGGTCATTTTCAGTCCTAGAAATCCATGATGGGGATTTCTAGGAACATATTACAGGAGAAGAGCAGGTACCTTACTCTCATCTCCTATCGATGAATTCGCACTTGTAGGACGTATTAGGCTTCATGGACTACCCTATCAACAGCTATACTCCGCATCAGTGAGATTGCTTCTCAACAGCGCCAATAGCGTCCCATAACTAGTTGAACCGGCAGCGTGTCAAAGGTGCGACCCGCGGCGCGAACACGCGCCGTGCGGACGGGTCGATTATAGAGAGGCCGACCCTCCAATCGATACCTGCTCATGGTTGCGTTAGCCCAATTGGAGCGCGGTTTCCAATTGGAAGCGACGTCATTCGCTCGCGGCATTAGGCGATGGTCTGTTAGCGGCACTAAAACCTCAATGACAGAGATGCAATCGGGCGTCACGGACTTAATACTACAACATGCACTCATCTACATGAAGTACATTCAAGCCAGCAGTTCCGAAATAGCAGTAAAAGCATAAAAAGGTGCTAACACTGTTCGGGAGGGGAGGGGGAAGGACTGCTCGACCGCGCTTCTAGTATTTAGAGCGCGTTCAGACTTCGCGCGATCCAGAGATCGATCGCCGCAGATCGCTGTGATCGCGCGATCAATCGCGCTACTGTGAGGTGAATTCACACGGAGCGGAGGCGGTCATATTGTTTATTTTTTTTGTTGCCGTTCACTTTTTTATTCTTCTTCCTTCCTGTTGTGTTCGATAACGCCTTTCTAATGTTAAGGAACGTTTCGAAAATAACTTCTGATGTTGATGTTTTTTTTTGTTCCCTCTGGAACTTTTTGTCAATTTCGCGACTCTAAGAATTGTTCTGGATGCTGCTTTTTTAAATTACACTAAAACCATTAAATTAACATTGAAAAGACATATGAACACGAAGGAAGGAAGAAGGAAAAGAAAAGTGAACAGGAACAAAAACATGAACAAACATAACCCTTCCCTCCCGGTGTGAATTTCACCCACAGTTCTCTCCGTCAGCGATCCGGAGAGAAGTCTGAACGCGCTCTTACGCTCCATTAAAAATCCCGAGGGACAGAGCGCAGAGGACCAGTGACGCCAAGGTAGCTACACAGAAGATATGGCCTCCACGAAGTCTGAGCCTTGACTGGAGGAAGGGACGGGTTACGGCTATTGTATCATGCTCGCCCTGCAAGGGTCCAGAGGTACATTGCCATCGCATCTATTGGCCCATCATTTGAAGGGATAAGAAAAAATAAAGAGAGAAGATAGAAGGAAGAAAGGAAAAAAGGAAGACGAAGAAAGAAGGAAGGAGAAGAAAGGCTCCGCAGCTGACAAGAACCCCGAGACAGGTGGTAGGAGTGGAAAAAGTTAGAATTACTATTACTATAGAAGGCATCTACCAACTAAAATTTCTTTTGCTGCGAGGGCCCAGGCCATTTCCTTTTCTTTTCTTGTTAGCTACTTCCAATTATTAAGACAATGAACGTGTAATGAAGAAGGAGAGAATTAGGGAAGAAGGAACTAGAAAAAAGCAAAACGGGTCGGCGCGATGGAGTGGTCCTCTGTGCATCTACGGACAAGTAATTTCGGACGCCTAAAAGCTCATTTCTCGGCTCACATGGTTCTGGACCTAAATGTTTTACTTATTGTTAGCTTTATTATGTTTGTCCTACTCGGGCACTATTCAAATCTCTAGCAACAACTTCTCAAGCGGCTGTGGGGTTGAGTTGAACGTTTGGACTCAATTAGTATCTCATTACCGTGTCCGGAGTACGGTAATTGGTACCAGCCAGTACCGTTTCCACCATTGAATCCAGCGACAGCCGCTTGTTTCCCTCCGAATCCATTGAGACCTTGAATGACATTGTAGAAGAGAGCTTGCCGATTAGAAATTATTTTCACTGTACTTGCCTTATTACTGCTCCTCACTCCTTATTTTTTATTTTTAAATATATCTTACCTCCAGCTTCATTACTAGTAGTCCAGTTGAGTCGAGCATAGTTAAAAATAGCGAATGTTCTATAAAATTAGAGTGTTATCAGTTGCCCTCCGCTATCAGAGACTTATGGATACCTTATTTCGTCAGTGGCTATGACCAGTTGGAAAGTATTCTGCCAGTCTTTCACATGCTCAAATTGTGACACATCGAGCGCTCTAGGAGCTCCTCCATAAGGCCATCTGAAGATAAAAGGGGCGCAGAATAGCAGGAAGCACAATCGATTTCAATAAGTGAACCCTATCCCTAATAGCATAATCTACAGCTAACTCATGCTGTTTAATACACGTAAAGTTCATTTCAGGTCTTTCTCATACCGATGTGTGTAATAAATGACGCGCGCTGCGGTCGCGGTGCGATTGATATCCGCACCGCTACCGCGCGCGCCATATGCGTTCTGTACGGTATCACAGTTCCTGCCGAATCTCCACTATTTCATACCATCCCTTTTTCAATATGAAATAAGCCTGTACACCACAAAATATCCCGCTCCCTAAAATGGGAGTCTTCCAACGTTGTGGATACGTGGATCGTGTGAAACAGGATCGTGTGGAAAATCAACAGCCAAAAAAAATTACTCGGGTCAAATCAACTCCCCCCACTAAGTGACCCCAGCGTACGGCGTACCCTGGACCAAATGCGAGCCCCGAGTTGGGTTTCGCACAGCTATGGTGTACCCCTGGGTGAGACATCCCTCATGATCAAAGAAACTCACTCTATACCATGTGACGATGAAAGCATGTTCTGCACGCCAGCCATTTGCTCCAGTGTACCCATCCTGAAAGCCAAATGTTCATTTTTTGATAGAGAATTTTGAAAAATCCCAACAAATTCTTGGGAGAATTTGGTCTGGGGGGGGGGGCTTTTGCACTCTTGTTTCTTCCCATCGTCTTGTCCGTTGCTTCAGATTAGACAGGTATTCTTTGCAAGAGCTGATAAGTACCACAACGTCGACTGGTATCTTTCTATGGCTTCACGAACATTCATCTACTTGATGGCTCAACACGACGATGGAAACGAGAAGCGAAATTGCAAAATGCCCTCCCCCCTCCAAGCCGAACTGGTCCTTAAAAGATTTGTTATAACCTCACCTGTACTGCTTGGGTGATATTGTCCAGAAGGAGCGGATCGACAACCATTCCGGGCTGACTGATTCTTCCAGGCATCTGTCGTTTTTTTCGGTATTGTTGTGGTTGATAGACATTTTGCTGGCTATAGATGGAGCTCTGAAAAAAGCTGGTATATCTAATCAGATGGCAAAACGTTCGTTTATTCTCTATGGGGATGCGCCACACATTCGACTTCCACCGGATATCGTGATCACCTTAGAACGCCTCTTTGTTCAGTTAACAAAGCCCCTCTCCCATCTGATGAAGAAATCGATCGCATGACCTATCCAGTGGAGATGATTAAAAAACTTAATTTT